TTATATATGAAGTCTAATTTGGGGTGCCTTAGTTAATCTTAATCCATTTCTTGCACTCTCTATAGAAAGCTCCTGTACAAAGAAGCTCTTATCTGCATCACCATATATAGAATAAGCACCCATCATCAAATGTCTTTTTAAAAAAAAATAAATCTTTATTGTTCATATTATTACAAATGTTCCTCATTTCCCCCCTCTCCATTGCTCCCCTTCATCAGGTTCCCACCCCACCCTCTACCCTTTCCCCACCCTCCACTGTCCTCATCCATAGGTGCACAGTTTATGTTCAGTCTCTTCTCACATCCCCCAATCCCCCTTTTCCTGAGAATCGTCAGTTCACTCCCCTTCCATACCTCTGATTCTATTATATTCACCAGTTAATATTGTTCATCAAATTTTTTAATTCCCTTGGTTTTTAGATTCACTTGTTGATAGTTACCTATTTGTTGTTCATAATTTTTATCTTTATTTTCTTCCTCTTCCTAAAGAACCCCTGTCAGCAATTCATATAATTCTGGTTTGGCGGTAATGAACTCCTTTAGCTTTTTTTTTATTAGTGAAGCTCTTTATCTGGCCTTCAATTCTGAGTGATAGCTTTGTTGGGTAGAGTATTTTTGGCTGTAGGTTCTTGCTATTCATCATCTTAAATATTTCTTGCCATTCCCATCTGGCCTGCATGGTTTCTGTTGAGAAATCAGCTGACAATCGTATGGGTGCTCCTTTATAGGTAACTACCTGCTTTGCTCTTGCTGCTTTTAATATTCTCTGTCTTTTGCTCTTGGGATTTTAATTCTGATGTGTTTTGGTGTGGTCCTCTTAGGATTCCTTTTGTTTGGGGTTCTGTGCGCTTCCTGGACTTGTAAGTCTAATTCTTTCCCCAGGTGGGGAAGTTTTCTGTCACTATTTCTCCCAGTATGTTTTCAGTATCTTGCTCTCTCTCTTCTTCTGGAATCCCCATAATTCTGATGTTGGTTCGCTTGAAATTGTACCAGAGGTTTCTTACACTATCTTCAACTTTCTGGATTCTCTTATCTTCTCGCTTCTGCAGAGGAGTGTCCTCTGGCTCTTTGTGTTCTAAATCTTTGTCTTGATTCTTGCGATCTTCCATTCTGTTTTTAGGACTCTGTATAATATTTTTTATTTCAGACAATATATTCTTTATTTCTAGTTGATCCCTTATTATTTCTAGTTGATCCCTTTTCATATCCTCATAGGTCTCGTTTATTTTATCGGCCTTTTCTAGGAAATTCTTGAAAAACCTTATAAGAGTGGTTTTGAACTCTATATCCAGTTGCTTTTTGTCCTCCATTTCTTTTGTTTGTGATCTGTTTCCTTGTCTCAGCATTTTCGCAGCTTCCCTGAGTTGGTAGCCTTAAAAGTCTCTGTGTTCAGCTTGGATGGGGCGGGGAGTTTCAGGATGGAGCCTACAGCCTTGGCTTTCATCAGCCCCACCCTATGAGGTTCCTGAGTCTCAGTGTTCCTCAGTGTCCTTTGGTACTCGCTGCAAGCACCTCTGAGAGAATGGTGCCCTTGAGTTTCGCCTGCTACCAGACAGTCTAGGCTCTCCCCCAATGAGCCCAGAACTGGGGTTCAGTTCAGTTGGAAGTGGGGTTGGAAGTGGGATTCAGAGCAGTCTGGAGCTTTTGTCTCCTTCCCGCTAGGGCAATCCCAAGGCACAGTCAACTGTCCATTCTCTGCGCGCAATGTGAGCGCCTCTGGGACTTCCTTTCGCCCCTCCCCTGAGTTTCCGCCCAGACTCCCTCCTTACGTGTCTGGATCCCCAGGGTCTCGCCCAGAACGGGGGTTCAGTGCTGTCGGAACTGGGGTTTTTATCTCCATCCTGCTAGGGAATGCCTGCCAGGCACTCAGCCTCCCCCTCCTCTCCTGCTCCGTCCTCTCCCTGTGCACACAGTGTCTCTGTACCTTAGGCTTTTACAGCTCCTCTGAATTTTCCTTCTGGTTTTCTCTTTCCTTCTCGTTGTATAATTTCTAGTCAGTTGACTTTCCTGTAGTTCTGGGTAAGTCCATTTTGTATTTTAGTTGTATTTTTTTTGAAATTGTTGTGTGAGGCTGCAGTTAGGTGTTTACCTATGCCGCCATCTTGGTTTCTCCCCATCAAATGTCCTTTAAGAGGTGGCTTAGTCTTTGGGCCTAATGAATTGGGCCTATCACTTTCAAAGTGTATCACTTCAGTAAAGGATGGAGAATTCTTATTTTCAAAATGTATGGCTGTGGTATTGACCTACAAAGGCCTGAGTGAGGCCTGCAGTGCGGTCGGACTGTGCTGGGCTGGGGTTCATGGCTTTCACACCACACGCATCTTTCTCATTAACTGCTGCAATTGATATTTTATTTTATTTTACTTAATGCTGAGGTAAAAACATATTTCATGTAATTAGCCATTTCCTACCACAAATATACTAGAAACATTTAAAATGGAATTAATTTCTCTTTAGCACCTCTTAGCATGTAATAAAAATAAAAGAGATTTTTTTTAAAAAAAGATTGGCCAGCAGTTGAGTATATCACTGACTTTGTTCCAGGTTTACTGTATGTATTGCTGAAGTGAGCAGTCATTGATTTTGTCTCTCTTCTTGCCCTAGAAGAATATTAAGATACTAGAGGCCTGGTGCTAGAAATTTGTGCATGGGGGGAAGATCCCCCTCAACCCAATCTGAACCCCCTCAAATCCAGTACCCCTCAGGGGATGTCTGACTGCCAGTTTAGGACCAATCCTGGAGATCAGGCCTAGACTGGCAGTTGGACATTCCTCTCACAATCCTGGACCACTGGTTCCTAATCGCTCACCTGCCTGCCTATCTGGTTGCCCCTAACTGCCCACTGCCCCCACTGACCTGATCACCCCTCACTGCCTCTGAGTGCTGGCCTGATTGCTCCTAACTGCCCCCCCCCCCCACCTGCTGGCCAGATCACCCCCAAATGTCCCCTCTCTGCCAGCCTGGTCGCTTCTAACTGCCCCCCTGCTGGCCTGGTCACCCCTTACTGCCCCCTCTCCCCTACCAGCCTGGTTGCCCCACACAGCCTACTTGTTCAATAGTTTGATAGTCTCTCACAACCCCCCTGCCAATCTGGTCGTAGACAACCATCTTGTGAGGGCATGATGGTCAATTTGCATATTACCTCTTTATTATATAGGATATTATAAAGGATTATATAAGCAGTTACCAATCCAAAGTCTTTTGTTAGAATATCACATGGGTTTTCCACTATGTAAGTGGTTGTAGGATAAATCAAAGAGACAAAAGAATCCATCCCTTCCCAAATATAGCATGACAGTAGACTCCCCCACCTTGAGCATGGCACCTAACAGGTTTCAGTAAGAGTCACTGCCTTGCTGGTTAGTGTAGCTCAGTAGTTGAATGTTGACCAGGAGCTCATGATTTGATTCCTAGTAAGGGCACATGCCCAGGTTGTGGGCTAGATCTCTAATAGGGGGCATACAGGAGGCAGCTGATGCAATCAATGATTCTCATCATTGATGTTTTTTTCCCTCTCTTTCTCTCCCTTCCTCTCTCTGAAGTCAATAAAAACATTTTTTTTAAGAGTCACTGCCTTTCCACCCACCTCTTTTCCTCAGAAGTACCCTCCTGCGGAAGTGGGGAGGTGGTCTTGTGATAAACCCTTTGCTTGATGGCCTAAATAAAGGTCTAAAGCCAGAGCCCTGTTCTCAGCACCTACCTTCCCCATGCCTTTTTTTTTTTTTTAAATAATATATTGATTTTGTACAGAGAGGAAGGGAGAGAGATAGAGAGTTAGAAACATTGATGAGAGAGAATCATCGATCAGCTGCCTCTTGCACACCCCCTACTGGGGATATGCCCGCAACCAAGGTACATGCCCTTGACCGGAATCGAACCCGGGTTCCTTCAGTCCCCAAACCGACACTCTATCCATTGAGCCAAACCGGTTTCGGCCCCATGCCTCCTTTCATGACCTATAAAATGAGAATAGAACCTGCCTTCTGTGCAGTCATCCAGAGATCTTTTTATGATCCAGAATAAAAAGGGCGATAGAACTGCAAAGTTTTATTTATTACTATTACTCAGCAGGGAGTTATTCCCAGGCCTTCCCTGGCAAGGGCTCTTGTGACTCTACCCAAGATTGAGCTCAACTCTGAACATAGAGATTAGTCTGCTACATAGCTTGGAGAATCCTTATCATTATGCTCTGAACCATCCACTATCCATCCTCAGAGGTTAAGAAAAAGCTTTAAAATCCTCTGTGACCTTCTTCTCAGCATGATTTCCTAAAAATGGTAAAATGTTCATCTTGAAACATAGGTGGGCATACTCTGCTGGTTGGGTCCAAAAGAAATAGCATGAGCTGGGATAAATGAGGTGCTGCTAGAAACTTGGGCTATTTGTGGACTCCTAGAGAACAACTGCCCTCTAGAAAATAGCTATAATATCTCTAGAAATAATTTCCCTTCAAAGGCCCGGGGAAAACATGCCAACTGGACTTTTAAAGAAGAAAGGTTTATTTTGTTTGGTACAAGCAAACCAGCATTAATTCCAAAGGCTGGGTAAGAGCTGTGCAGGTCAGTCTGCGGGGTGACACTGCCACCTTGTGGTGGGCACACTGCAGCACGCGGAGCTCAGCAATAGGAACATTATACATTCTCTCTGTTCACTGTATAACCAGAACTATTAAAAAAGAAACCACGTTTCCAGAACAGCCCACTCAGTGGAGAGGCTAATTCTTCTAGAAATGGCCCAAAGTAAGAAAAAAAATTAAGCTTGGCATTTACTGTGTGATATGAGCTAAACATTTTTTCTACCCACTGAATCCTTAGTTGCCAGGTGTACTGAAGCATGTATTTTTTTTTTTTTTTAAAGCTTGACTGAAAAAAAGTTGGAAACATTTTACTTCATATTACACATACTTTTTTAAAAGGGCAGGAACATTTAAGGTAACAACACTTAACAGGAAAAAACCTTGAGCTGGAGGACCTTGAGAATCAATTTTTAAATGTTTTGCTTTCACATAGTCTTTTTCATGGTTGCTTGTGTCATGTTGAAGAGATAAGCTTCGTAGATTATGTTTAAGAAGTTGTCGTCATTCTGGAAAACAAAACCAAAAGACCCAAAGGAATGTGATTGGTGGGCAGGAACAAAAGGCTTCCCCCGTCTTGAAGCTGGCCTGTTGAGCGCAAGATGCTCATCTCTCCTTGTCTGTCTAACAGCCGGCAGCTGTAAACTGCACATTGAATGGTAAGTGGGGCTGAAGCCAGGTCAGATGAGTCCGCTGTTGTTTTTCCAGGGTCAGTATGTTACACACAGCACAGCCAGGCTGCCCAGCTATGTGTGTATGAACAAGGCTCTCTCATGAGGAGCCTGGGTTTGTTGGCTGGATAGGAAGGACTTGATCCAGGTCAGTGGTTCTCAACGTTTGGTTAGGAGATTGCTAGCAGATACTTTGTTTTTGGAATTAGTTAAGATTTTACTTGCAATGTGCATCATTGGTATAGCAAAGCCGGTGTAATTCTCCGTTGGCTATGGAAAGTTTCTGGCCTTGGCAAGTGGACAGCAGTTAGACCGGCAGTCACTGGGCTCTTCTGCCTGGCTAAGGGCTGATGGAGAACCACGGGTCTAATCAGTGGTTTTGTTTTTAATTATGGAGACTTCTGCTTTCCACCCAAATCCTTTAAAACTTTAGCAATTCACCCACATTGCACATTCCCTCTTGGTACCCACACACAGAGTTAGCATTATTCTCACGCAATCAAGGAGAGCTACATATCCCTATTTTTCTTACCAACTGACTGCAACGTCCCTACTGTGTCCTACCAACAGGCAAACACTAAAAACAAACTGCTTAGTGACTTTCACCAGGAAAATATGTCTAAAACGTGGGAAAAGTATGATGTACGCAGAGAGTGGAGGAAGTAATTCCTAACACTGTACAGGGACTGCTCTAGGCTTTCAGTCTTGGCCCCTGCACAGAGATCTTTGGAACAAAGTGATTAAAAGGAATGAGCCAGAAGAAATATGAAACTTTAAAATTCAAATATTTTCAATTGATTGTTCTCAGATGGTCTATCTAAGTCCGCATGAACTTATCATAAATGGCTTTAAAAGGAGGAAACATTGGCATCCTGATATTTGTGACCTAGTAAAGCATGATCATTTGTTACCTCTCTTGAACAGATAGTCTTCCACTTTCTAGCCCAATTCCTTCCATTCTCTCTAAAATACGTCACCTTAAAAAAATGCTTTTACTAATAGAGACCATTTTCTTCTTAAGATGAGACAGCTGCAAAAGTGCTAGCCTGCTCTCTAAAAGCCATCTGAAGCTTAAGCGAAATATCACAAAAGTTTTCTTAAAGACTGTCTAACGAAAAGTACCTAAAGATGTTAGCTGAGTGTGTGACGCCTGGGAAAAGCATCCCCTTGACAAGGCCTGCCACTCATCTGTGGGTGTGCTTTGCTGGGCAGACAGCCCAGAGGCCGAGTTACTGCTGCAGCCCCCACTGCGGGCAGCGGGAAGCAGCGCTCTGGAGCCAGACTGGGGTTGGAGCTCAGCTCTGCTATTTACTAGCTGTGTGACCTCAGTTTCCCTTGTCTCTAAAATGGAAAAATGGCAGTGTTGCTGTATAAGGACTCGATGACTTAATGAAAGTAAACATTGTAACAGTGCCTGACTCAGCTCTGTGTGTCAGCTGTTATTCTCTCATAGAGACAAACTTATGGCTGCCAAAGACGTCCCATCACTCTATCCTGTCCTAATTAGCAGGCTTCGAAATTATCTGTAAAATAGCCCTAATATCACAGCCATTACTTGCTCCTCTACCTGCTGGCTCCTTGTTCAACAGTCTGCTTGAACTCTCCACTAAGCACCGTGCTTGCGCAGACAGCATCACTTCTACTCCCAGAGGTGAGCTCTCGGTTTGGGTACCCGCAGCAGCATCCGGTCCTTCTTTTCTGACAGGTGACAGACTGGAGGACTTAGTCAGTCCTCCTCCAAATTACAAAACCCATAAGGTGTCAAGTCACCTAAAGCTGCAGTTAGTATTCTGAATCTCACCCCGCCACGTGGATGAAGGAGCATTCTTACATCGCTCTCTTACTCCTGGGCAGTACTACTTAGGCACTCGCTAACGGAGGCCTTATCTCAGAGTGGCAACTGTCAGGCAAGCAGGATTGGCAAAGGTAAGAGGAGAGACGATGGCCTTCCTACCTGGATGAGGAACAGCAGTGCTTCCTGCAGCTGCAGCTTGGTCAGCGGGCTGAGCTCGGAGGGCTCTGGGCTCTTCAGAGGCAGGAAGAGGCTGGTGGAGGCGGCAGCTGGTTCCTGGCTTCCCAGGGACAAGAGCCCGCTGTCCCTCTCCTTTGATGGGCTACGGGTAGGTTGTGTGAACACCATGGGGCTCATGAGCAGAGAAGAAGCAACTGTGGCAGAGATGCACTGAGGTGAGATGACCTGCTCGTAGCAAATACATACAAAGAGGGCAGGTGTAAGCAGCAACTCACTGATACAATGGGTACAGAGACAAAGAGGCCACTCGCTTGCAAGAGTGGATAGCGGTGAACTTAAATCCAAATTGTTCAAAATTTCACTAGACAGGAAAAGCTCAAGGAGAACTGATTCCTGTCCAGTTCCCCACATATTGCCCTTGTCCTTCCTCAGCAGCTCTGCTCAGGCCGCTCTGGTGACTGTTGTTCCCTCTGCAGAGAGTGCTTGGCCTCTAAGCAACTCTTTATTTTCTGCTTTACTGTCATCACTTGGCAACATGCATTTAGGACTGCTGGCCTTTTCTTCAGGCTAGCTGTCTACTGCTCGGGCCTACAGTTCCAACAGCATACATGAGTTGTTGGAGGCACACACATTTCCACTCCATTTTTCTATGGAGGAACCGCTGTGAGTGGTCCTCCTCACTCATTTCTCACCAGGAGGGAGGCATGATTCCCGGGTCCGTCCCTATGGGATGTGCCTGCTTGCAGAGAGTACACACTTCCTGCTTCTCCGTGCTCCAGAGGCAGGAGCAGGTCCTGGGGCTGGCCATGCCAGCACTGCCAGTGACTTGTCTGTCTGGGCAAGTCTGTCTACCTCCCTTGGGTAACAAACATAACACCAAGTCTTCCAACAGCTTTTGCAGTTATGCCAGTGACACTTAGATCCCTATTTCACTGATGCCTACAGCACCCCCTGTTTCTAAGTCAGGTGAGAAAATGTTATCATCAGCCTAAAACTCCGTAAGAACATGAGGAGGGGTGTAAAGGCCAGTGGTCAGGAAGCTGCTGTAATTTTTAACCACTCCCTCGGTATCTTTTTGGGCAGAAGTCCGCCCTGAGGACGGCAGGCTGTTACCTATCCCACTGCTGTTCTGAGAGGGGCTGAGGCGGAAGCTCCGAAGGAAGATGTCAGCACCGCGAAGCTGACAGTGTGCACTTTCCTCTCGGACCCATGCCTGTGAGCACTGCAAAGCCAAGAGAACTGTGTGTGTAGACGTTTATGTCTTAATATCAACCCCAATTTTCCTAGTGTCCAAACTAAACCATCAAAGAGAAAAGGGGACAGGATTATATTATGATGAGGATGAGTGACAACTACTGTTTCCATAGAAATAGGTACTCAGATTTGAGATTTTATAAAAAGTAAACACAAGCTCTCTGACTCAGCGCCACACAGACACACTTACGCTCCATGCTTATGATCCTGGTTTCCAAAGAGTGGAAGGTTTTGTTGTCTACTTGCCAAGACATGACAAACAACCAATGATGAGATATGTAATAAGGAGAACTTCCTAATTTTTAAACCTATTGCATTTTCAATGAATTTGTACCAATACAAATGAGAAAATAGCCCAATCTCCAGATGTTACCCATGGGCAATGGAACAGCTTGTGGTTTTTTCTGTTCTAAGCTACTGATGAACATAGAGATCATCTTCCTTAAAGGATAAACAACTTCTAAAAATTACAATATTTTCCCCTCTCTGGAAATATGTGTGTGTGTGGGGGGGGGGGGGCATGACATATTTATCCCTCTCTCCATCTTTATTAAGCTATGCGGAGGGTGCAAACTAGAACAGGCTGGCCTTTGCAGAGTGATGGCACGTTTCTCCCATGGACTCCCGGCCCCAGGCCTGCGGGCTCTGCAGAGGCAGCGTCTGTGCTTCTCACCACTCTGCCCCCGTGTGAAGCACAGTGCCTGGGAGGGAGCAGTGCTCAGAGATATTTACTAATTAAATGAATAAGCAACAATTACTTAGACTAAAATAAAAGAGGTTAGATATTTCAGATCCCAGAATGAAGATTAGGATCCCTTTCCATGTCTATGTTCTTTCCCATATCCATGTCTTCACGCCTGACAAACTGTGAAGATTTAACTCTACAAATAAAGTATCTGAAAGGAGGGAAGCTCCTAGATTGCTAAGCAAATCAGACTCTCTTTCCAGCAGGAAGTTAAGGTGACATATGATGCACAGAATTGGCTTTGCAACACTGTTCAGGACAGACATGTCCCTACAGCACAGAAGGGGACTCTGCATTTCACCGCTTCACAGTAATGACCCCACCCAGGGGATACTTACCTGAAAAAGGGGAGTCTGCTTTTCCGTGCTGGATGTCTTGTCAACCCAGGGTTCCCATGGCTTCCCTGCTCCAGAGCTCTGAGTTAGCACAGGAAACTTCGCTGCCAAGGCTGGGCGGTTAGACGTGTGCAGCTGCTGCTCCTGCTGCACAAGCTGAAGCTTTTGCAGTAACTCTTGAGGGGAGATCACTCCAGAACCACTAGTCTGACTGCCAGTAAGGGCGAGCATTTGTCTTGGGCACGAGGACTGAACTTTTTCATGAGGCTGATGTCCTAGTGCCTGAGGTGGAAGGGAGCCATTGAAATGTACCAGTGGCGGCTGAACCATCGCCTTTACGGGAGCCGCAGGGGTGGCCGCGGAGAGGGCTGTGAAGTTCAGGGCTGCTGGGCCGGCAGGTGCTGGTGCACCAGGGTCGTACTTGTTCACGGCCGCCGGGGTGCTCTGGAGCTTCTCTAGCAGGTTTTGAGTTCTGGAAGCACCGTGGACTCGATGGGACGTCCCAAAGCTGTGGGGAGACCCCAGGTGGGCAGGTCCAGTAAAATCCTCCCCAGCAGGAGGCTCGCTGCCATTTTTGTAGGGCTGGTTTTCAGGCAGCTCTGACAGTGGGTGAAGGTCTGCACTCCTGACCAGGAGTTTCTGAATGGCTGGACATAGCTGCTTCTCCACGGGGGGTGAGTGTCCTTTGGGTTCCTCATAGGACAGGGAACGGATAACCCCCTGCCGAATTGGAAGTTTCTCTTGCTGCTGCTGGTGGAGTGTCTGTGGAGGCCCCACAGTTTCCTGACATGTAGCTTTGTCCTGCTTCCCAAAAAGTGCTGTCAAGGACAAGTGTTGGGGTTCAGGGTCTAAGGTCTGAAAAAATAAAAATGTCTGAAAATGGATCTACATACAATTTGGTTATATGGGGCTATGAATCACAATTCACCTAATCAATGGTTTCTTTTATTTATAAAGGATTAATTAGAGAGTATAAAAAACTTAATTATAGTAAACGTCACAAAATTGAGACCTTAAGCCAATAATTTTCTCAGCATTCTTTCCTACTACTTCTAAGATAGCTGTTATATTTTAATATCTGTTGAATGATAAAATAGGAATGTGAGCCTGGGGTTCACATATTGGGAACCACTATGGTACAGAATTATATACACCAGAAAGTAAATAATCTCTTCAATAGGAAGTCCATCTAACCCTGCAAAGTATAAGATACTGAGAATACACAGGAATATGAAGATTTCAGAATTTCTGATAGCTTTTCACACAATTATAAAAATTTAGGGTGAGAGGAAATGTGTCAGTTAGTCTAACTTGATCCTTTCAACTCTGTGAACTCTGAGAAGAAAGATAACTACTATGTAGCTAACAGGGCTCAAAATTTTTTAGAAGGAGCCTACAAGCCATTTCTGCACAGGGACCTCTGACACAAACTGCACTTCATGGGGAAGCCTGCACTCTGTTTCTGCCATCTGAACCAGCCCTTATAAAGGAGCTCCTGGAATCCTATTTTAACCAATGGGATGGAGGCTTTCCCCATCCAATTAGAGCTATGTAGTTCTGACCAACCAGAGTGGCACTATTGGTTCTTTTGGACCAATCAAATTTCAAGGATTTGGAGTCCTCATGTAAAGGAAAGAGCAATTAGGGGACGGAGACTTCTGTCTACATAAGCCAGCTCCCCTCTGGCTCTGGGAGCACACTCTTCTCTTTCTGTGGGAGACTCAAGACTGTTTCCCCGGCTGAGCTGAATTCTTGAAGATGTCTTACAGGAGCAGAGCAGACCAGCACAGCAAAAAGCAGATCGGCACAGAGTAGAGCAGAGCTGTCCAGCTCTGGGCCCAGTGCTGCCTGGCCCAGGGCTGCCTCACAGCCACGCTGTACCACAATTGAGCTATTTTGCATTGAATAAAGTTTCCTTCTTCACTGAACCCCAAATTGAGGATTCCCGTTCACATTAAATTGGTACAAACTATTATTGTTGACAACTATATATTAGTAGCTTTAAAAAACCATCAAATCATAAAATCTACCTTGGCCCTGCCAGTTACAAAGTTGCTTCCTTCCTGCTATATATCATCTCTGCCTCTTTCTGTTGCTTTCTGTATTATTAGGCTAAGAAAAAAGGAGCTTCGTTCTTAAATCAACATATTCTCACTTCTCTATTAAAAATAACAAATTTCCATGAAAAGCAAACAATAAAAGAAAGCAAAAGATAATTAGAAAAAACTTAGTTTTTTAAAAAAAATTCAATATGAGACTTTCATTAGCTTATCTTTGTGTCTTTTGGTTCCATTTTATTTTTAAAATTAATTTAAACCAATTCCTTGAAAAAACAAAACACCCAAAACCGTTAATGAGGCATAACTCCTAGAAATGGAAACAGCCACATTATATTTACAATAAAAAATGGGACTATACCCTGGCCCATGTGGCTCAGTAGCTTGGGTATCATCCCATGCCCAAAAGGCTGACAGTTTGATTCTCAGTCAGGTTTCACATGATGGTTTATGAGCTCAATCCCTGATGGGGGTGTATGCAGGAGGTAGCTAATGATATTTCTCTCTTTCCCCCTTTCTTTTCTCACTCCCTAAAAATCAATTTTTAAAAATCTTAAAAAAAAAAAATAACAGGACTTGTAGATTAGCAATTTTGTTAATGCTTTACTATTCTGAAATATATATTAATATATGTATATACTAGAGGCCCAGTGCACAAAATTCATGTATGGTCAGTGATCAGGGCCGATCTGTGGGGCAGCTGGCAGGGTGATCAGGGGTACCCCACCCTGGGGCCTGAGGGCTGGGGGCACATCCTGCATAGATTGTATGCCCCCTTGGTGGACAGTGCACGTTGTAATAACCAGTTGTTCCAGCGATTGGTCAATCTGCATATTAGGTTTTTATTATATAGGATTCTTTCAAAAACTGCTATCATAATTAGATGCAAATACAATGGCAAATCATCAGGTCTAAAATGGACTTTTATACCATTTCTTAGGACAGGAATCCCATTCTGTATTCACAGTAGCCTAGAATTATACCTGTTACAAAGGAAGTGTTCAGAAATGTTAAACTGAATTTTGTTGTCCTGGCTGCTTTGGGAAACCAACCATCAACCTCCGCAGAACATGGGCCTCTTGGTAATATTCCTGTTAACTCTAGTGATGTTATTAGTTTGTTGTTGTTTTTTAAAAAACACATTATCGCCGAAACCTGTTTGGCTCAGTGGTAGAGCGCTGGTCTGTGGACTGAAAGGTCCCGGGTTCGATTCCGGTCAAGAGCATGTACCTTGGTTGCGGGCACATCCCCGGTGGGGGGTGTGCAAGAGGCAGCTGGTTGATGTTTCTTTCTCATCGACGTTTCTAGCTCTCTATCTCTCTCCCTTCCTCTCTGTAAAAAATCAATAAAATATATTTTTAAAAAATAAAATTAAAAAATAAAAAACATTATCCTGTAGGGAGTTCAAATCCACAAGAGATTATGGTAAATGCCAAAAGTAAGTGTTAACCCCTTTTGAGAAAGAGTGAATTATTAATAATAAAAGAATCTTTAACTTGAAATCTCTCTCTTTTTTTTTTTAATTTTTTTATTTACCCTAAAGGATTCTCAAACAGTACCAAGCACTCCTGCTTTGACTATACTCTGGATAAAAGTTTGTTACGAACCTTATACAGACACCATGAATAAAAAACGGAGAACTGAGTACCTGGCTGGGTGGAGGTACTCGCTGCTGCTGGTTTTCACTGGGCTTCACTGGAATGGGTTTGATGAGATTGGGGTTGTCATAAATGGCAGATGAACTGGTTATCTGTTTTGGCTCAGAACAGGTTTTACACTGAAATAGAAAAAAGAACCTTATTTTTGGTATAAAAGAAGCTTTATTTTTTTAAAAAAAGAACATACCTTCCTTCTTATTCTTTATTTTATTTAATTGGTAGCTATTTTTTTGGGTAGAGTTTTATGTACAAAAAAAAATCTCTTAATCTTTTTTATATTTGAGTATAAGTAAAATTTAAGTTTATTTATTTATTTTTTACTTACACATTCAGTGCCCTAAAATATTACCAACAGTATCAGCCTGCAAGACCTAGAAGATCTTAGATACCTGGATACTTTAAAGGCTATCTATATACTTAAGAAGTAATAGTTTAAAAACATAGAGTCTAGTGCTTTTTAATGATAAATAACGATAAAAACTATTCCTTAAATACCATTCTGGATTGCAATAGCAATTGATTTCAAGTTGGAGAGTTCCAATACCAAAGTAACTAACCCTTTTTGGTCTACAAACCAAAAAGCAAAGCTGACTCAAACCACTGATTTAAAAATTATTAACATCATCTTTATTTAATAAGTGGCTTTTTGGATAAACAGAATAATTCAAATCTGAGTGTTCTCAGCCACTCACTACAAATTAGAATTTCACAGAGAAAGAGACGAGACATGCCTCACCATTTCAAATACCAAATCATTATCATGCATCAATCTAACCAACCATGCAGATATCAATATAGTAGAATTTATAACCGAAAGAGCACAGCAGCGACGTCAGCATCTGACTTGTTACAAATAAAACTGAGTATAAAAACACTCACTTCTCTACTACAGACTCTCTATAGCATTGTTGGTTTCAATTATACAGTCAAGGCCCAGGTCAGGAAATATTTCACAATGGAATGTGTGACAAATACAATCCTGTCCCTCAGAAACCCAAGGTTCCCAGTGTGTCTTGCAGTTATTGGATTGTATTTTATAATTCAAGGATAGACAGGTGTGGGGTCAACTACCACTGTGTTCACTTAGGTTCACAAAGGTAACTGTACGAAAGACTAATTATTTTCTTTCAAGAATTCTGTAAATAATTGGGATTTGGCATTAGTATTAATGGGATGTGAAATACGTTATGAATCATAAAACATTATTTCTAATTCTTTTGAAGTGAATTATGATTAGTGGCATGGACCAACAGGACTGGCTTTTCAAGATATGGCTAAGCAGCACAAGACGATATAGTCACTTACAACATTTTAGCATGGAAAGACTTTAACTTCTGCTTGCGTTTAAAAGAAAAGTGGATGTTTAGCTTACTTCCACCAAATGACCCTTCTGTACTTCTTCATTCTCTCTATGATCAGGGACCTTGAATTTTATACAAAGAAAAAAACAGATATTTCCCACCTTCACTGTGCACATATCCACATGGGCCAACAGGCTTCTCTGTCTTTTGCTTGCATAACCCCAGGTTGACTTTTCTAGGTAAAATTTCCAGGAGCTGTTTTCTATGTTACTGCAATTGTCTGCCTATTTATGAATCTTTGCTTGTATATGAAGATAGCTCTCTATCAAATTTCTCAGAATTAAACAGCACCCACCTCAATAGTTTATAGCTCATTTTCCAGTTGTTTAATTTTATAGTCTTCTCCAACCCAAATAACTTCAAAATACTTAGAAAAAAATAAGTTGTGTAAAAAGTGTACAATGGATTCTTTACAGAGAACAAAAAACTATGTCACATAATTCTAATTTGTCACATACAAACACACAGACATATTATCTATGCCAAGAAACGAGTCTGAAAGAAATTGTGACCTAAGTGTATTTGGGTTTACAGGGTTGCGGGTGGTCTTTCTTTTTAATTTTTCTTTTCTTTTAAAATTTTTATTTATTTACTAGAGCCTGCACGTGCACTAGTGGGGTCCCTTGCCCTGGCCTGCGCCCTCTCGCAATCTGGGACCCCTGGGGGGATGTCAGAAAGCAGGTTTCAGCCTGATCCCCACAGGCCAGGCCGAGGGACCCCACCAGTGCATGAATCTGCACTGGGCCTCTAGTATGCATATAAGATCTTTAGTTAACCTCTTTCTGCCCTCCCCTCTATCCCCTTTTTTCTGAGATTCATCAGTCTGTTCCATGTTTCCAAGCCTGTGGTGTTCCTCTGCCCCCTGGTGGTCAGTGTGCATCATAGTTACTGGACGGCTGGTTGCTTAGACATGTATATATATATATATATATATATATATATATATATATATGTATATATGTATATATGTATATATGTATATATGTATATATGTATATATATGTATATGTATATATGTATATATATTTGAGAAAGATGAAAGAGAGAGAGAGAGATCAATTTGTTGTTCCACTCTTTTATGCATTCATTGATTGATTCTCATATGTGCCCTGACTAGGGTCTGACTCACCATCTTGACATACTGGGATGATGTACTAACAAACTGAGCTAACCAGCCAGGATTATTTTCCTTTTTGTTTCTGAATTTTTTCATTGAACACCAAAAGACACTTAATAATTTCTTTAATTTCATAAATAGATCTCAGCAATATCTAGAACTATTAATTCTTGCCTAAAACCACAAAATGCATAATAGTCCACTTCTGAGTAGTAAGGACCTAACTATGTAGCCTACAAATCACTTCCAGCCTGGTTCCTTTTCTTCCTGAGCTTTGTTATCTTATGGTTCATTTGCATCTCAACAAGGAGGAAGGAGGTAAAGAGATGCCACTCAAATTAATATCATTGCTACTTTACAGAAAACTCATAGAAGGTTATTTCTTAGGGAGAAAGCATAAAATATTAACCCAAATAAGTGTTTCAAATTGTTTTACTAACTTTACAGAAAAAGTTGTATCTGGTACCACTAGGCTTCATTTATCAATACCATATGCCCACAGCATAAAATGTTTCCTCCTCAAACTTTTTGGAATTTTTGTGAATTAAAAAATTTTAATTTAGTTTAACACTTATACAGAGAAGTAAAAAATTTTTATACTATCCCCAGTATGTAATCATTCAGTTTCTTCTTTAATGCTTCCAATAATGAAAAATTCACTTCCTCAGAACAAGAATTCTGAGGAAAATTTTTGTTTTCTTTCTCTATTGTCCTCTTTCCATTTCCCCATTTCCTCTATTTCAGAACCATTTGGCTCATGTTCACCATTTTCTAAACTGTCTGCTGGTGTGTGAGAAAGGAGGAAACACAAATGCAAGGTAAACAAAAGATGCAAAGGATGTTAATGGGGAAGCACAAACATCTGGTGGGTGGATCAGAAGTAACATGATGGGCAAGGAACATGTGAAATGGGCCTTGAAAGACTGATGATATTTTATAGGTAAACAAGAGGGGACAGCATGGGAAAAGGCATTAAGGCACTTTTAGGAAGCAAGATTGTTATTCTGTTTGGTAGGAGTTTCAAATATTTGTAAGGTGCAGTGACAGTAGAAGGTATTGGGTTAGAAGAATTATCTGAGCTCGGCTGGTGTTGCTCAGTGGTTAGATTCCCAGTCAGGGCACTTGCCTGGGTTGTGGGCTCAATTCCATATCTCATCATTGACGTTTCTATCTCTCCTTCCTTCTCTGAAATCAATAAAAATACATATATTTTTAAAAAGAGTGTGCAGGTTCATACTAGGCAATGAGAAAACAAGAAGGATTTAGGCCAGAGCAGTACCATGATCATACAGGTTACATTACATCATCTGGCCGTACTAGCAGAAAGAATAATTTCTTGTGTTGTTTACCTCACAGTTGGAGCAATTGACATTATGTCTATAACATATTTGATTGAATATCTGCACTTTCTGTCAACACTGTAAGAACCCAACTATGGGAGCATAATGATGAACAGAACATTGTTTTGACCTCCAGTTAACACTGTTGTGGGAGAAGTTGACTTAACTGTAAAAACTGAGAAAGAACAAAATAAGTTCTAAATACTTATTGATGGTGAGTTCAATGGAAAGAATAATTAGTTTGAATGACGTGATCTGGGAAAACTCCACGTAAAAAGTGGCATTTTAACTGGGCCTTGAAAGACATATAGAGTCTGAAGGGCAAGTAAAATGAGGGGAAAACCATTCCGAGTTGTAGGTATAGTATAAAGAGAAGTCTCCAAAGCCATGAGTGCGTGTGAATTCCCTGTTATAAGACAGTCAGGTGTTGCTACAGGAGGCAGCACTGAAAAGGCTCAGGAAACTAACTTTATTCTACTCACAGGTCCTAGAAACAGGAGGCACAGCCGGCTACACAGGGCCACATGGGGAAGCCTCTTGGTGGTCCGGAGGGAGCACACAGGAGCAAGGGGAAACCAAGACTAAAGCCTTTTACTGGAGCTTCTGCCCCCTAGGACTATCTCCTTTGCATCATTTCAGCAGGATGTCAACTATAGGGGGGAGGTCTCTAGCTGCCTGACCTTCCTCCTATCTAGCCCTGATAGGAGGAAAGTAGAAGAATATTGCTTCACGGTATACACAGATCAGATAGTGGAGAATGGCTCAGGATCATTAGTTTGCACATTGAAGGCATGTTTCTGGTTGGGTCCTTTGCTCCCTCTAAGAATTGGCAAGCTCAGGGAGGCGCAATCTGTCCCCCAACCAAAAGATTGTTAAGATGCCAAAATATTCTATATAATAAAAACCTGATATGCAAATTGGATGGCGGAATGACACACACTGACCACCAGGGAGCAGATGCTCAACACAGGAGCTGCCCCAGCCTGCAGGCCTCAGGACAGCTAAGGTGAGTGCCAGTGGGGGCCGTAATTACCCCCCAGGTTGCCCTGCAGAGAGAGGCAACCCGTGGCAGTGGTGGGGAGGGGGTGGGGCCGGCAAATGGGCAGTGCCAGGCTGGCTAAGGCGGGTGCTGGCTGTGGTCCCACCAGTCACCCCACAGATCAGTCCTGATCACTGGCCAGGCTTAGGGACCCTACCTGTGCATGAATTTTGGGCCCTGGGTCTTTAATTATAAAATACAAATGGTACAGTGTGTGTGTGTGTGTGTATTTGGGAGAAGAGAGGCAGAAAAAGTATTTGTTCAATATTTACATTTATTATTTACTGCCACATACCATGTTTCCCCGAAAATAAGACATCTCCGAAAATAAGACCTACTTACAGGTTGCCTTCTGAGTGAAATATAAGGCATCCCCTCGAAAATAAGCCCCTCCCACCCACCCCCGAGACTAAACATGAGAGATTTGGTCCACTGATTCTGAAAGAAATGGAGTCTCAAGAAATTCACCAGGAAATTCAGGAATTGGATTGTTATGATGATGTTCCAGAAGATGATGACATGATTGTCCTTGAATAAATGAGTAAATTCTTGATACTGTAGGATTCACAGTTTGTCTGGTTTGTGTTGACAACTACCGTACTACTGTACTGTATACAAGTAATAAATTTCCTTTATTTTCATTTAACGATAAATGTGTACTGTATTCTTCTTCATGGAAAAATAAGACATCCCCTGAAAATAAGACCTAATGCATCTTTGGGAGCAAAAATTAATATAAGACACTGTCTTATTTTCGGGGAAACAGTGTAGAATTGAAGTTCCTTGGGGGTAAAATTTCACTTTTTAAAATTAATCTATAGCCCTGACCGTTTGGCTCAGTGGATAGAGCACCGGCCTGTGGACTGAAGAGTTCCAGGTTCAATTCTGGTTAAGGGCATGTACCTTGGCTGCGGGCACATCCCCATGGGAGGTATGCAGGAGCAGCTGATCGATGTTTCTCTCTCGTCAATGTTTCTGACTTTCTATCCCTCTCCCTTCCTCTCTGTAAAAAAAAAAAAAAAAAAAAAAAAAAATCAATAATATATATATATATATTTTTTTAAATATATATATTTTATTGATTTTGTACAGAGAGGAAGGGAGAGAAATATAGAGCTAGAAACATTGATGAGAAAGAGTCATGGATCAGCTGCCTCTTGCACACCCCCTACTGGGGATATGCCCCCAACCAAGGTACATGCCCTTGACCGGAATCGAACCCGGCTCCCTTCAGTCCTCAAGCCGATGCTCTACCCATTGAGCCAAACCGGTTTCGGCTATATATATATATATATATATATATATATATATATATATATATTTAAAGATTCATCTATAGTGTGTCTAACATAGTACAATTAATAAAGTATAACTCATTATCTGACTAGTTGCCAATTCATTAGGCTACCTTTTAAAGATTTTAAGAATTAAATAAAATAAACAATATAGAAATAGTTATTACTGACTAAAGCTGGAATTAAAGCATCTCTGTCCAAGCCCAACGATAGAATAATGAAACTCTGATTTATTCATATTCATATCTATTCCTTCACTCAACAAACATTTATTTGGCATTTATCATGTGCCAGGAACTTGGAAGAAGACTAGGAGCTCACAGTCTAACAATAAAGGTTGAGTCAACAATCCAGTCAAAGGCATGTTAAAGGCACTCAGTCAGTTGTCCTTTAGTATGTCCCACTTCACTCAGGACTTTTCTGATTGTTTCCTTGTCGTGTCGTTTCCTATCTGCTCCTTCCTCCTTCCTCCCTTTCATTTTCTGTGAACTAGAAAGTTAGAGCTCAAGTCTTAGATTTAGAATCAACTCTTTTGGCAAGAATATTTCAAAGTGGTGCTATATCTTTCACATTATATCACAGTAGGAGGCACATAATGTCTGGTTATTCAATTTTTAATTATGTTCAGGTGGTGGCACCCTAAACCCTTTCATCAATTCTTCTCATATTATTAATATTACTGGTAATCATTGCCTGAATCAATTATTTTACTAGAAAGTTTTTAAGTTCTATCATTCTATCTACATTAGGAAGGGGAATTCTTGGAATCCTTGAATAGAGAAGAACTTCCCCTCATCAACAAAAACTATTTGGTTACTCTGAAATATAGTCCACACTGGCCAGGTAGAATAAATGCTTATTTTTTCATTAACTACCAATTTTCAGAGGAAGGAGCTGGTGTCCTAGTATCTCCAAGGATAGCCAATAATTATATTTTTGTTTTGTTTTATATTTTTGGTTGCTTGCTCTCTCTTATCTCTTTGAACTCAGATTTTATAAATTCAGTGGGTTTCAATCCACTGCATTCTTTTTTGTTAAAATATTTTTATTGATTTCAGAGAGGAAGGGAGAGGGATAGAGAGATAGAAACATCAATGATGAGAATCATTGATCGGCTGCCCACTGGGGATTGAGCCCATAACCCAGGCATGTGCCCTTGACCAGAATCAAACCCAGGATCCTTCAGTCTGCAGGCCAACGCTCTATCCACTGAGTCAAACCAAGTAGGGCTGCAGTCATTCTTGTTGATGTTAGAATTCGTTACTTTGGTTGGTGGTCCCTTCAAGCTGACTACCGTGCCCTTCCACATGATCCTATTTGTTTGACTTTCGTATCTTGGAATTAGGAGTTTCTTTAAAGAGCCTGGAAAACTTTCATGAGGAAATAGTATTTAGAAACACTAATCTGGGGGCTAGAGGTATTTATTGCTCCTGGGTTTCACTTATTTCTAGGTCTTTTCAGGGGGAAAAGTTAATAATTACATATTTAAGGAATAAAATGTCAACTAATTCAGACATTTGCATTTAAAATGTATCGATAACATTATACATTCATTTGTTTTTTCTCTTACACTGAAGGTTTTATTCTGACATAAAGTTGACCCTTGAACAACATGGATTTGAATGTGTGGAACACTTATTGCAATTTTTTTCAATACAGTACATGCGCCCAGACAATGTGGCTCAATGGTTGAGCACTGACCCATGCACCAAGAGGTCACAGGTTTGATTCCTGGTCAGGGCACATGCCTGGGTTGCAGGCTAGATCCCAAGTAGGGGGTATGCGGGAGGCAGTCAATCAATGTTTTTCTCTCTCTTGTCAATGTTTCTATCTCTCTTTCCCTCTTTCTAAAAATCAATAAAAACACATTTCAAAAAAAATAAATACAGTCCATGTATTTTCTCTTCCCTGTGATTTGTTCATAATAACATCTTTTCTCTATCCTTTCATTGTAAGAATACAGTATATATTACATATAGCATACAAAATACGTATTAATCTATTTTTCATGTTATTGGTAAGTCATCTGGTCAATATTAGGTTATTAGTTAAGTGCTTGGGGGAGTAAAAAATTATACGTGGATTTTCAACTGTGTGTGGAATCAGTACCCCTAACCCACACATTGTTAAAGGGTCAACTGTACTTATTTATTATATAGCAATTACAATACTAACAAAACCACTGAATAAAGTTTATAATTTCTTTGTAGTTCTTTCTGTCCTTAAAATATAATCCACTAGGGGTATTTAGTTCAAATATGGGATTCTGAAGTCACTCTAATTTTTTTCTAAGTGATTATGTCATAATATAATATATTTAATTATGTACATTTATTTCATCTAATTTTCAAATTCTAGCTTTCTTTTCTTTTTTAATTTTATTCTTTGTCCATGTTTCTAGAGAGTATTAATATTTTACTTCTCAATTTTTATAAAAGTACTTTATAAAATAGGAAAATTAACCCTCTTTCTAATATTTAACTGTAAACATTTCTTCTTAGTCAGTTCCTTTTCACTTTGTGGTTTTTTTTAAAACCAAGACACACATTTTTTTTTTTTTAAGTTTCATGTAATTTAATTAATTGCTTTTGGGTTTTGAGTCATGGTTAGGAAAAGTTCCCCTTTCCCAGAGAAATCCATACAAGTTTTCTCCTGGTACTTGCGTAGTTATATTTTTACATTTAAATTCCTAATACATTTGGAATCTATCCTGCATATGGCATAAGGAAGAGATCTAATTTTGCATTTTTCCAAATGGCTACCAGTTCGCCAACATCATTTATTTAAAAATCTATTAAAATAACTGATTTGGAATTTTCATCTTTCTCATATCCTAAATATCTTATACACTGGGGTCTCATTTTGGACTTTCTCATCTGTCCCTTTGGTCTACTTGATTGTTTATGCAACAACACCAATACCACTTTGTTTTAAGTGTTCAGGCTTTAATGTCTAAATATCAGGTAGAGTTAGCTCCCCACATCTCTTCCACCCAGTATGGCTTTTCTTTGCCAGGGTTTTCCCCAGTTATTCTTCCTTGTATATTTTCCCACAAAACCCTATAATAAACTTGTCTGACCTCAGAAGAGGAAAAAAAAAGAAAGAAATCAGTTTGTATTTGTTTAGGAATCATCTTAAATTTATAGATTAATTTATGGAGAAGTGAAAATCTAAAGTTTTATCTCCTTGTCTAAGATCCGGACATATATTTCCATTTGTTCAAGTCTATTTTTATGTCTTTCAGGAGTGTTTAAATGTTTTGTTTATATGGGTTTTGCTCGTTTCTTGTTATTTTATTCCAAAGAATTTATATTACTTTATTGCTATTTTTGTTGTTAATCTCACACGAGAATATTTTATCTATTGATTTTTAGAGATAGTGGAAGGGAAGGGAAGAGACAGACAGAGAGAAACACCAATTTGAGAGAGATACACTGATTGGTTGCCTCCCGCACACGCCAACCAAGACTAGGGATTGAGCCTACAACCAAGGTACCTACCCTTGACCAGAACCAACCTTAACCCTTCAATTCCCAGGTCAATGCTCTAATCACTGAGCAAAACCAGCTAAAGCAGTTTGTTGCTATTTTTATGGGGGTCTTCTGGTAAACCTTATGACTGTGTACTATTTGAACAGAAGAAGGTTACTGATTTCTCAGGCTACCTTTTAACCTATCTAAAAGCAAATAGTCATAATCTCTTAAAAGCAATATTTTAGTTTTCATATAATTTTGTTTGGATGAAGGAATAGCAGTTAAGGCTTTCTTAATGAGTGTGTTCCCACTGTGGGAATTACCTATGTATCACAAGGGCAAACAAAAACTCACCTTTGTATATTCATCTTTGGCCTTGGTGAGCATTCGTAAGATATCTACTTCCTTCCCCTCTCCTGAATTGAGGATCATTGGGGAGATTCCTGCTCCAGCTTCTCGATGGGCTTTCAATTGTTCATACTGAGTTAGGCTAGAAAAGTAGAGGGGAAGAGCCACACAAGGAAAAACAATTCAACACATATGATTTTGGAAACCATCCAATTCTCACCCCGTTGCTTTTATCCTGTTATAATCATCCCATATAATATAAGACTAATATGCGAATGAACCAAATGGTATAACGACCGGTCACTATGATGTGCACTGACCACCAGGGGCAGATACTCAATGCAGGAGCTGGCTCCGGTGGTCAGTGCGCTCCCACAGGAGGAGCACTGCTCAGCCAGAAGCTGGGTTCATGGCTGGTGAGTGCAATGGAGGTGGTAGGAGCCTCTCCTGCCTCTGCAGCGGCACTAAGGAGAGCGGGCCTAAGCCATCAGTTGGACATCATCCAAGGGCTCCCCAACTGCAAGAAGGCACAGGCCAGGCTGAGGGACGCCCCTCCTCCCCCACCTTCCCCACCCCATGTACGAATTTTGTGCACTGGGCCTCTAGTATTAAAAATAAGATTGCTTAAAGAAGGAAAAATAAGATTGCTAAAAAAGAAGGAAAATGAGATTTGAGGGAGGTCCTGAGTTCACTGACTAGATATATGAATCTAGAGTAGAGGTGGGCAAACTCCAATCTGCAGACCAAATCCTGCCCACTGCTGGTTTTTGTGGCGTTACTAACACAGCCCCTGTTCTTAGACTGCTGCCTCAGATTGCCTGCAGAGTTGGGTAGCTGTGACAGAGAAAGTGTGACCTTGAAAAAAAATATTATCTTTGCCAACTCCTCATTTAGAGCATTTGAAAGATTCATTAATTGCTGAGGAAACCCGATTTTAGAGTTCTCAAAAACTGAGCAAACTGCATGGCAAGTCAGATTTCCCCCATCCTCCAAAGTGCCTTAAAGTCAAAGTGAGATTAATCCCAGATACTCAAATCATATGGTTCTCTGGAAGTTTGGAAACAGTGAAGATTCCCTTCTAGGAAAGGGGGGTATAAAAAACAGAGCAATAAGCCATGTCTTCTGTTTTACTGAAAACAATACAGAAGGGAGACCATATGCTTCTATATGTGCTAGGTGGCATTGATAAAAACACTTGTTCCTTTTTGTGCTTTGACTCACAGATCAAATTCTTTTATAATTGCCATGAAGTTGGTCAAAAGGTCTGAAAATGTATTGAGATGTTTAATTCTAGCTGAGGAAGGACTGTAATCCATACATATCAGCTGCTATGTGTATGGATTCCAGCCCTTCCTCAGTTAGAATTGCTAGTTAACAATCAATTTCCTGCCCCAGCTGTTAAGTTATTAGTGCAGATTGCTGGCGATTTTAACTTGACCTTTTGGCTGAGCTGCTGGGTAATTTTTAATCTATATGAAATCCTGCTATTATTATCCATTGCACAGCTGACAATAACATGAATGTTCTAAGAACTAGCTGTTACAGTGTTAAATACTAGTTTGAACACAATCACAATCTGAAACCTGAGCTAGTTACCTATAATTAGCTATCATCACAAGCTAGATTTTCAGAAATCAATTATATTTATATAAAAACTAGAGGCCTGGTGTATGAAATTTGTGCACAGGGATCCCTCAGCCCAACCTGCACCTTCTACAATCCAGGAGCTCTCAGGGGATGTCCTACTGATGGCTTAGGCCCACTCCCCGTGGTTCTCTGCTCTCTGCGGGCCTGGAGGTTTCGCTGCAGCCATGGATATGAAGCCCCCACGCCCTGCTCTCCGCTCTCTGCCTGCCTCCGCCATGCGCCATGCACCATGCACCATGCGAAGGAAGCCCCAATGCCCCGCAGTGTGCTCTGTCTGCCAGGCCTGGGGGTTTGCCCACACCTACACACTAAGGGAGCCCCCATGCCCTGTTGTCCTGGCTCTGTCTGTGGGGCCTGGGGGTGTTTCCACCGCCACCTTGTTAAGGAAGCCCCCAAGCCCGGCTGTCTGGACTCTGTCTGCCATGTCTGGGGACTTCCCTGCCACTGCCACACTAAGGAAGCCTCCATGCCCTGCTGTCTGAGCTCTGTTTGCTAGACTTGGGGCTTCCCTGCTGCCACCTCACTAAGGAAGTCTCCATGTCCTGCTGTCCAGGCTCTGTCTGCGGTGTATGGGGGTGGATCAAGCCTCACTGCTTGGTCCCACCCAACCCCAATGGGGTCTGACAGGCCCAGACACTGCAACAGTAATAGAGCGGGGAGGCTGGATCCACCCCCTCTGGAGGGAGATCCAGCCTCACTGCTCCTGCGGACAGGCCAGAAACTCCAGTAGCCAGAGGGGCTGAGGAGACTGGGCGCTGCCATCTTGTGACTATGGGGGGGCCCACCATTTTTGTCGTGGAGTGATGGTTAATTTGCATATTACTCTATTATTAAACAGTTTCATTTTTGAGAATCACTTTTTAGTAATTTCATTGCCCAAAATTTAAAATTGGAAATGGTTCTTTTGCTGCTTTGTCAACTCATGTGGGCAGCAGCTACACTATGTGCTCAGCTGAGTCCAGTCACAACCTGAGATACAGCACAAGTAGGAAATATGTCATTTTCTCTAAGCAGGTGGTTGCCAAACTTTCAGACCTCAAGGACCACCAGTGGTCCGTGGACCACTGCTTGGCAACTGCTTGTCTAAACCATTCCCATAAACAGCAGGGAAGTCACTGACTCACAGCACAAGCCCTGGGCTCAAGAACTGCTCAAAGATGGGAGAAATCCCAAGGTAGCATGAGATTAGAAGAAAACAAGATGAGAGAGAGAGACCATCCTAAGTACTCACGGTGTTGGAGGGTGGGGAAACCCTGACCCTCTACAACTATGGGTATGCACTTAAAAAGGAAAGCATTGAGGCAGGAAGATAATTAAAGATCTGAGAGAATCTGGAGCAGCCTTTCAGAATGTCTCTGAACATTCTTTCTTCTAATAGATATACTGATAACTTTCAAAGAAAAAACTGCTAAATGACAAGTAAGGAAGATATTAAGGAAAATTGCCATCTGGAATAATTCATATTACAGGTATTTCACACATGTAGAAAACAATGAGGTGAGCCATTCCACATGACAAACGTTACCTAGTGAAAATGTTATATTTATGTCTCTTTTTCACTTAAAAAGTAATAGTAAATGTTTTTCCTAACATCTTGAAAAGAATTGCTGTAAGAGATATATTCTGCTAAGATTATGATGTAGTTACACAAAATGTAGTTACACATTTTTCTGACTGAAAAATACTACGCTGTCTTTCAGCACTTACTTTTTCATAAGTTCTGCAATTCTTTGGCATTCTTCCTTATCATAAAACCAAATTCCATAAATGGACACTGCAAAAATACATCAAACAAATTATGAGCATCTTCAAAACTACAAAATGGAAAGTCCCTCTCCATCTTGAAAGAAACACACAACTATTGAATAAATGAAACCAATAATTGCAATTAGAGCTTGAAAACCTAGCACTAGAATTTTTTTAATTTATTATTTTTTCTTTGTTGATTAAGGTACTACATATGCGTCCTCATTCCTCCATTAGAATTTTTAAGCCCACAGAGAAATCTATAGTGGTCTTATGCACACATGCGTGTATGCACGTGCATACACACTTATAAACACAGGCACCCTCCCCCCAATATAAGTCTATTGTCCTTAAAAATATAGCACTGGAACATAATAAGCATTTGGTAAATGTTTCTTAACACATGACTAGAAAATGAAATTGGAATTCTAAACTCCTGGCTTTGAAACATGTTTCCATATTCCATTTGCACATTTCACACACATATTTTATCTTTATTTTCAAGTATTCAGACACCTGATACACACATTAGGCCTAGGAACCCCTCTTCATTCTCCTTCTCCCAGGTAAACATTAAGAATTGGCTTTTTAAGATGTAAGTTACCAGGATAGAGTGAGAAAAATTAGATTCCATAATAAATCTCTGACTTCAAAATGTCTGTACAGAAAATTTACAACTGTTGATAGCTTAAAAACAACTGTGACTATCATTTAGTAATGAATGAATAATTGGTATTGATCAATATAACAATTTTCCAATAAATTGTATATCTTAGTATGCATCTATCTATATCATTTTTATAGCCAAAGCTAAATAGTTCCAAGCAATGTATAAATACCTAATTGAGGACCAGATGGTATCACTCATGTACATTTTAAAATCTTTGAAAATAGTAGTAATGTTATAAGGCAAGGAAAATCATATTTTTAAAAGGGAAAACATTTATAATTTATACTTTCAAAATATTTAATTATATGAATATTATTTGGCCATTAAAACAGCTGTGATGTTTTATTATTATTGTTGTTGATTTCAGAGAGAAAAAGTGAGAGAAATATAAATGATTAGAAAGAAACATTGATTGGCTGCATTCTGCACACCACACGGTGGGAATCGAGCCTGCAACCCGGGCATGTGCCCTGACTGGGAATCGAACTGTGATCTCCTGGTTCATAGGCTGACACTCAACCACTGAGTCACTCCACCCAGGCTGTGATGTTTTACTAGTAACTACGAAATTTCCCTTAGTGTGGATATCTGCTTCTTGTCAATACCGATTTAGATATCAGTAGGAATAAGAAATGTCTTTTTAGTATAATTTTAAGCAGGCATATTAAAAGGAACCTTATAAATCTGAATTACTAACTTGCCAAAAGGTGGCAACGGGCTTTTACCTTTTTGTATGAGTAGTGTACCCGGAATCTTTATCTTACCTTCCTACATGTATGAAGAGGTAAAAGTGGAAGAAACCAGCTTTTCCTCGAACAGGGCCGTTTTATCTGCTTAGAAATACGTATCATATCTTGCCTTTAATACAATGACAATCTTTTGAAAAAGGACATTGGAGTTATGAATCTAATGGGCTGGAACAGCCTTTAGGTAAAAAAGGAATTCTTTCATCTTAAGATCATTAAATGTATATCTTGAAACTTTTATTCAAGGATGTTTCCAGTCCATCAACATTGTTTTACCCTGATTGCCTACCAGTTTTCCCAAACTTTTGACATATGTGTACCCCTTCTATAATTTTCGTAACGCTGAGTCCCCCTCGTACTCATGAGAACGTAGAATTAGGCGCAGCTAAGCACGGTGCAGTGCATATCCCCTCCAAACTCCGGTGTAATGCGTACCCCCACCAAACTCTTCCCGTACCCCTGGGGGTACTCGTACCACACTTTGGGAAACACTGGACAGATTCCTACATACCAACCCACCTAGTTTCATGTTCTTGTAAATAAGTACATGGCATTTGACTATTTAATAGATTTATGTGTTTTGGTGGTTTTAATTTTAGTTACAAAACTAGGAACCCGGTCTATTTTTTGGTTACTCATTTTTTTCCTTGGAGACAGAGTCTTCCAAAACTCTCAAGGAGAAAAGGGGTAGCATGGGAAACAAACAGCATAACTAACAGCATGCAAGGCCCTATGGCAGAGAAAAAACAGCCATTTGGTCTCATCAGTAGAACATATTAGTAGAAATATTTTGGGTATCATTTTATTTTTAATGTTACACATTGTGGCATTTGACATAAGCAACTAGATTTTCATGAGGGTAGGATGCCAAGTAAACGGTTGATACAAACGGAAACACAATTTGACAATACCATTACCATGAGGTAACTGAAATGCAAAATTAGGGAAGGAAAATGCTACAGAAACATCTTTCAGATGTCAAAGAATAAAGGAAGACTGGGTTTGAAAGTGATTATACAAGACATTGTGGAGATTATAACCATTTATCTATAAAGCAACTTGACTTTAAGAATAAAATGGACCATTTGAAATAGTAGCTCTTTTCATTCTAGTTAATGTTTAGTTTGACCACAAAATTTAAAAAGCCAAGGGGTGGGGACAGATTTACCAACAGTCCTGGCAACGGAAAGGTAGCACCGAGATAAAATGTAGAACTGCGCCTATTTTTTTCTCCCTAAAATAGTTGTGCCACTTGAGCTGCATTCCACCGGGAAAGGGGAGCGAGAATTACATTAGAGTGCACATTCCAACTGAAGTTTTCTGTTTCTTAGGCCCAAGGTCCACCGACCCCTGGACAAACTATCACTCTCCTACACAAGAGAGTGTATCAGAGCGGCTCGTGGTGACAAATACAAACCAGAGATCATCATGCCTCGGGAGGCGATGAGCTGCCAGGCTGACAGAAACCATTAACCTCACATTTCAATCCCAGTTTTCCTGTAAAGCCACTGGGGGAGAGGCCACCTTACGTAGACAGTGAGCACAGCAGGAAGGAAAGAAAAAGACAAGGTTGAGAAGAAGCACAAAAGAGATGTGGCTTTTAGGATTCTAAAACTTAAAGTCATTCCTGTCAACCTAAATTAGCAGTGATAGGATATGGCCGTATTAACTTGTGCAGCTCAGATGTGACTGTGAGAATGATTTCTAGGCTTTAAAAAATTACAAGGAGAAAAGCTCACAAGCAGGATATTTGCCTATTTTAAAATTTGACCTATTAGTACGCATCTGGATATTCACCATGCTTCGAGCCTTTGTCCAGCCTGCTCTGCCTGCATACCAGCCGCTTCCCAGTCATCCGTCTGCTGAAACAGAGGTGAAGTTTAAGGGCACTTTGGTGCATGAAGCTCAACTCAACTGTTTTTACACCCCTCCTGGAGGTAAGAAACCCAAAAGTGGAGTAAAGAATAAAGAACATGTTGAAATTTACTCTAAAATACTTTAAGGATGCCTAGAATGTGTGAGTCCCCCCAAGCTAAGAACTCATCTTTTTGGCAGTCCTCTTCATATTTAATATAGGATCTTTAACAGAACGGTTGTGAAAGTGTGCCTAGAATTGCACTGCCCTGGTTTATGTCATGATTTGGAAATTCTCAGTTGGAAAAAAGAAAAGCAGTGTTTGGGGCAACAGGCAATGCAACATTGCCTCTACTTGTCTGCTAAAAACACCAATCTTCTACTTGCCTTTCAATTATGCAAGAAAGATTAAGGAAAGCAAAATTTCCATATTAGATTTCATGTTTGATGAGAGAGTAAGCTGATTATTTCATAATGATATTTTTTTCCTTTTTAATTTCTTCAGCAGAAAAATCTAAAGCTGATCAAATTTAAGAGGCTACTTAAGAGGTCATTAGAGACAATATCAAATATCCTTAAATGCACATCCATTTAGCACCCCTTTTGCTTATTAGTATGTGCATTGTTCATTCTGGACATTCTTTGGGAATTTACTTCATTTAGTTTATGTCCTAGTAAATATTTCTATACAATCTGTTTTTTTTAAAGACATTTATCATTTGTTTTATATTTTACCCAAATATTTTTTAATTCCAAATCACAAATGGTAGCTTACAACCTTTTAACAAGGATTCATGCTAATATTTGTGCAAGTTTAAAATAAGGCATATTTCCATATAGGTAGTAGTAAGTAGATAATAAATAATTACATAGGTAAAGTTTAAACAGGCAGAATAAGAATATCTGATGTGTTAATGCTCTTCTCTCTAAATTGCAAATTTCTCTCAAAATGATAGGAAAATATATTTTTCTTGGTCAGTATGTAGCAAGAAATAATTTAAATTCTCTTTTTACTAGGAAAGTCATGAAACAGTGACAAAGTAAATTATACAGATCTCTTCTGGGCATTTAATGATAAATCAAAAATTTAAAAATTCCTTCAAACCCCATTCCTTTCATGAAGTCTTTCTCAAATGAGTGGACTGATAATCCCAATGTAAGGATCAAGAACATTTAACCAGGTATTTGGTGTAAACAATATTTCTTATTCACTGTACCATTGACCAGGTTTTTATAAGTTTGACTACATTGATGACTTGTTACTGGCATCTGGTAGTTAGCCCACACACTCAGCTATTACTCTTGGGAAAGTACACAAGATAGTTAACAAATTGGAAAGTTAGAAGTATGAAACTTTAGAGTTGGAAATAAGCTAAGAAGTGTGCACTTCAATCACCTATTTCGCTAATGAGTAATATTTGTTCTAACAAGGCTAACTGACGGAGTTTGAACCAAGAAAAATGACTTAGCCAAAGTCATTTTTCTTGGTTCAAACTCCTTTCTCTAAAAAATGCCACTCTCAATTCTTACAAATGAAATGAAAAAGTATTAAAACAATGTTTATGTTTGACTGATTTGCAGGCTTGGTTATGTATTATAAGTTTATGTGGACTTTCAAAAGGAAAAAGGGAAAGATGGAAGGAAAGGTGAAAGGGAGGAATGTTGAATGGAGGAGAGAGAGAGGAAAGAAACAAAAGGGAACTGAGATTTCTAGTACTGGCTGTATTTTTACGGCAGAAAATGCTCGAACAACAATCA